ACCCCCCCCCCCCCCCATAACATGTGGTGTGACTAGCACTGCACCCCCCTTCATAGAACCGACGTCCGCCTGCTCGAACTCACCGCACTGCCGAGCTCCTCCGCGCTCTCCTATCCTCGTCACAGCAACGAGCGGGCTCACGTGGAGTAGTTCGCACCGACAGCGAGTACACGCGGCAGCATGCATGATGGGGCGGGTGACAAACGAACAGACAGCGGGCGGAGGAGCTGCGCTCCCTCTGGCAACGCCTTCGCGCCAAACACACCGTGACGTGGAGGCATGTGAAGGGGCATAGGGACAACAAAAATTAATGGAACGACTATGTAGACGAGCTCGCTGCTCGTGGCAGGCGGGGTGACAGAGGCTCGAACACGGCCGAGTGGGCGGACGACACCACCCCGACGGACACTCCCGACGAGGGGAGCGACACGGAAGGACCCGCCCCCGCCCCTCGGGGCGGGGGCCCGGGGGCCCCCGCCCCCCCGGGGGGCCCGTTGGGCCCTCTCCGGGGGCAGCCCCTCCGGGGAGGCCGGCTTTCCCCGTGCCGGTTCTCCCCAACCAACCCCGCCGGCAGCGCGAGCTGCCGGCCACATTGAGCGGTTCGTCCGCGTCGCGCACTCGTCCCAACTGGGGGCCGCAGACTCGTCTGCGTGCCAACGGCTGGTGACGCTGTGTTGCCCTTGAGCTAGTCCTTCCCCGGTCGCCTAGCCTCTGCGCTGTCTGGCGGACGCCTGTATGCCATGCGCGCGGACCACGCTTGCGTGGATACGTGGCTGGCAGGCTGACCCGTGGAATGTGCTGCGAGGGCTCGTGGGCGAATCTTTCGTGGTCCCGCTGGCGCTGCCCCTCGGGGCCTCGGGCTCGGCCGCTCGCGCCGCATCGTGACACGTGTTGAGTTTCCGAGTCTCGTCTGGTCTCTCTCCCTCTACAATACCGCCCCCGCCTTCGCGCTTCGCGGTTCGTCGCGCCGTTGCGCGCTAGCAGGAACCCAATGCTCGCGCCAACCAGCCGCAGCCGCGTTTGGCTCGTATGGCCCTCGCCCTCGCCTGCTTCTTCGCCTGAAGTGCGGAACGAACGAACGAATGAGCGAGAGGGATAGCGGCACGCAGGCCGAGAGTCGGGGGCGCGACATGCCTCTCGGCTGATCCTGGGCGCCGCGTTGTTCGCCGCGGTCATAGCAGCAGGTCGGTGCTACTGCTGACCGCCTCGACCTGATCCCAGCTGTGAGCTGAATCCCAGCCGTCGACCTGCACCTCGAGAGGGTCGGTGGAGGTCACTGTGCCCGTTCTCCACTGGGCGTTGCCTTTGTCCTTGCACCGGACTCGCTGCGACACGCGAAAGTCAACCGCTGCTCTTGCGGTGGAGAGGGTGGTTGACGCAGTCGGCGTCTTGAGGTCGGTGCTAATGCTGATCTCCTCGACCTGATCCCAGCTGTGAGCTGAACTCCAGCCGTCGACCTGCACCTTCAGCGGCCTGCTGGAGGTCACTGTGCCGGTTCTCCATTGGGCGTTGCCTTTGTCCTTGCACCGGACTCGCTGCGACACGCGAAAGGCCACCTGCTCGTTGCTCGCGCCGTCGTCTAGGTCGGAGAGGATGTCAGAAAGCGAGCCGAGGTCGTCGGACTGAGAGCAGCAGGCGCCCATGCGGGCACTGCTGCCGGCTGTTGCACCCCCCCGCGTCGATATATGCAACTGTACTTACCCGAGGCAACGGCGGGCGCTCTCGCTGGCGGGGACAAGGAGGACAAGGAGAAGGTGCATGCCGGCAGCTGCGATGTGTACATATGCTGAGCTGGAGCGCTTCGATGTGCTCAAAATCCAGTTCGTCGACACTGTCTCGCAGTCATTCCACGCGCGCTGCCTTCTCCAGCTTCGTGTGAGAGGAGCCAAGGACCGGAGGGATTCCTTCGTCACCTTCAAAGACGGCGCCACCGAGTCTGTCGAGTGGTTTGCGGGGCGGATCGAGGTGCTCAACTCGTTTGAGCACGACTCGTGTAAGCTGATAGACGAGAAGCCAACGGTCAGGGACGATGGCGAAGACCTGCTTATCCAGCTGCGGTTCGAGGGGCGCTTCAACCAGCCGATGCGGCTGCACGCATTCCCCTTCGACTCGCAAGAGCTGAGCATCGAATTTATTATTCTCTGCCGCGTCGACGGACCCGTCCCGGCCGAAGTGAACGTATCGCCTCGCGTGAGCTGCAGACTCGTGGACAGTGGCTTCGCGCCACGCTTTCAGTGGCGGCCAAAGGGGAAGGTGCGCTGCCACGCAGGGACACACGAGGCAAACGGGCGCACCTTTCCCAAGTTTGGCGCTACGGTGAGAGTGGCGCGGGAGGCTCGTTTCTACGTCACCAACGTTGCGCTCCCCACCGCCGTCTTCTCCGGCCTCGCCTTCACCCTCTTCGCCGCGCAGCCGTCGGAGCCTATGGAACGCCTGTCGGTCTCTGCTCTCCGGACTCCTGGCCGAGATGTGTGCTCCCAATCTATGTCACGGCTCCGCGCCCGAGTCATAGGTTGCCTTCACGCTGCTCCTAACGATGGCGGCGTACAAGATCACGGTGGCGGGCATGATCCCGCAGGTAGCAGAGACGCGGCGGTTCCTGTGTGCATCACCCACACAAAGCCACCACGTCCTGACATAGGTGTCCTACGAGACCTTGCTCGACCGCTTCCTGCTCTACAACTTCTTCCTCCTCGTGGCGATGGCGATCGCCAGCGCAGTTTTGCCGCAAGTGGGACAAGAGGCGGAGGATTTGGCCGACCGCGTCTGCTTGGCGCTTCTGGGCGCGGTTTGGTGCCTGATCCAGGCGTGGTTCGTGGCCAAGGCGTGGAGTCGAGAAAGGAGTGAAAGGCTGAGGCGGGGTGGTGGCGGGCTCGTGATATAAACAAAGAAAACAACACCTCTCTCCTCTGATCATACACACACCGTCCTAATGCTATGGTACGTCTGTCACACCTCTGCGCACACACAGCGGCCGTGGTTGCGCTCAACCGACTCGCACCCGGCGGCCGCGCTCCCGCGCTCGTTGAACTCGACGTGCTTTTCCTGCCACACCACGCAGCCGGGGAACTCGGCCTCGTCCGTGGTGGAGCCGATGTGGGTCAGCCTCATCGTCTGTGCGTACGCGAGGCACTCATCCCGCGAGAGCAGCAGTGTGCCAACGGCCGTCAGAAGGCCCGCGGTGCCACGCGCGGCGGAGCGTTCTCGGGACGGAGACGCCGCAGGGGGAGGGAGGCACGCGCGTCGCAGCCGCCGCCAGCAACCACCTTGTAGCGCGGCAACGACCCCGCCGCCGGCGTCACCGCCGCCACCTCCAGCGCGGCCTATCGAGGATATCCGCTCCGCCGTCCGCCGTGCGAGTGTGTGCGCTGGCGGGCGGGCAGCCTCAAGATCAATGGGCGCCGCTGGACTCGGCCAGCTCGGCACCGCGGCCAACGCCACGGGAGTCAGCGCCGGGGCAGCGGCGCTCCCCGCCTCCGCCGCCGGCAAAGGCACCTTGCACCGTCACGGGCGAGGAGGGTGAGAGTGGCGTCGGGGTCGACTTCTCAACGGGGAGCGCCATCGCGACTCAAACTCCGCCATGGGCAGCCGGCGGCCAGGCCCCGAGCCCGCCGCACCGCCGTCGCCGCCGCCGCGAGAGCCGCCGAGCTTCCGCAAACCGCCGCCAAACCGCCGCCGCCGCCCGCTGCCGCCGCCGCCGCCGCGCCCGTGGGAAGCCTCAGCTTCGCCAGTCGGCAGGCTGGGCGGAAGAGGCGGGCGGCGAGGGGGCGCGGAGGCGGTCGAGCTCTGCGAGCACGACCGCGGGCGAGGGGAGAGGCACGACGGCCTACCATACCTCCAGAGCACCGAATCCAGCGTGGGTTCAGGTCCGTGGGTGGCGCGGTAGGGGAGGGCACCACGGTATGCGTGGCGAAGACGACAACATGAGGGCGGGAGGGCGGTGTGATGTGCAGTGTGTTCAGAGCACCGCGCGAGTACAGCTCGATACGTGCCCTCTCGAGCGCCAGTGGAGTAGAAGAATACGCATTCCTCTTCTAGGGTGGTGCGGCCTCGCCCCCCGCCCACACGGGCACTCGCGACGTGTACGCGGGCGACGCGGCGGCCTGGAGCCTCCGGGGAGGCCGGCTTTCCCCGTGCCGGTTCTCCCCAACCAACCCCGCCGGCAGCGCGTGAGCGGCTCCGTGTCCGCCTCCACGAGGAACCAGTAGTTGTAGAGCCGCAGCCCCGACAGCCGCAGCATCATCCGATAGTAGAGGCCGCTGCCGGAGGAGGCGGCGGCGGCGGCGGCGGCGGCGGCGGGCGTCTCGCTTATGATCAGCCTACGAAAGCACACCGCCGCGCGGCCAACGGCGGCGGCGAGCTGCGCGGGGCTCAGGAGGTGCTCCTCTTGATAGGCGATCAGGTCGACTGAGGTGTCACTTGGGGCGGTCGCGAAGGGACGATGAGGGCGCGGGACGAAGGCCGGCGAGGTAATGCGCTCGCACCGCTGTCCAAATGCAAGGCTCGCCGACTGCACCGCACCGAGGGCGTCTCCCTCGCCCTCTGGGATTGCCGCCGCACACGGGGCCAACCCGGGGTCCGACCACAGCTTGGCCGCCCTCTCCAACCTCACCGCGTCTTCTCGCGTGCGAAGGGGCACCACCACCGCCATGTGAAGTCCCGCGAGCGGCTGGCGCTCTTCAGTGAGAGATTCTAACTGGACCTGCATGCTGAGGTTGGGACGGACGAATTACTGTCGATACAGTAAAAGGGCCCGCCGGGCGCCCCAAAAAAACACGCGCGGTTCGCCTATCCTTCCTTTGCTATCGAATTTAGTGATCTTGTGCCATCCGTTTCTTTCTGTAGAACCATCGCCATGCATGCTGAGATCAGCGTTGCGTCGAGTGCGTCCCGTCCGTGGACCGTGCTCAGCTGGTTCGCCCGTACTCGCGACCGATCCTCCGTCGTCATAATTATTCTTGAGCAGATCCGCTCGCACAACGAGCCGTCAACTCGCAGCGCACGGTCCTCTTCCCCCGTACACAGGGCTCTACCGCGCAATACAATCAGTATAGTGTACCCCGACGCCGTGCGCCATTCGTAGCGAGTCATTACTCTCGCTATTTGCGAACGCGCCCTCTGCAGCGTCCGTGGGTCCGCACCATGGGGAACCAGCCTTACGGGTCGGGGCGGGGGCGGACCGGGACGGGGACGCGACGGCGGTGGCTCGAGGAAGTGCTCGAGACTTCTCAGCTGACGCCGGAGGAGCACTGGTCGAGGTAGCTCTTGTACAGCCTCGCCTTTCTCTCTCGCAAGTCGGACGAGACGAAGCTGCGCGTCGCGACGAGGCTTGCGCGCGTGCGGGACGAGTAGGCGGGCCTGTAGACGGGGAGAGATGGGGAGAGATGGGGGGAGATGGGGAGAGATGGGGAGAGATGGGGAGAGATGGGGAGAGATGGGGAGAGATGGGGGGAGATGGGGAGAGATGGGGAGAGATGGGGAGAGATGGGGGGAGATGGGGGGAGATGGGGAGAGATGGGGAGAGATGGGGAGAGATGGGGAGAGATGGGGAGAGATGCGGGAGAGATGGGGAGAGATGGGGAGAGATGCGGGAGAGATGGGGAGGGATGGGGAGAGATGCGGGAGAGATGGGGAGAGATGGGGAGAGATGGGGAGAGATGCGGGAGAGATGGGGAGAGATGGGGAGGTATGGGGAGAGATGGGGAGAGATGGGGAGAGATGGGGAGAGATGGGGAGAGATGGGGAGAGATGGGGAGAGATGGGGAGAGATGGGGAGAGATGGGGGACGAGTAGGCGGGCTTGTAGCCGTCAAGGTGAGTGTTAGGGTAGGGTTAGGTTAGGGTCAGGAGCGGGGTTGGGGGCGAGTGGGCGGGCCTGTAGCGGC